AAAGAAACGACGATATCTCCCAATCCGGGAGGCGGAAGTTAACATATAATATAGAAAAATCACCTATCTCGACGAGACGAAGCCAACCGTGAAGTCAGAATTCTTATTAGAGCATCGATGCCTGTATCGATGCAGGCATCGATACGAGCATCGATGTTTGTATCGATGCGAAGTCATCCAGATTGTATCAACGGCCGAAATTGCATTCTTGGGGCTCAAGTTTGATCCAAGGGCTCTCATTCACTGATATTTACTATAAATAGGGGTTGAGAGTGAGGGGTTAAGGGTATAAAAATTTTTGTAACTCCTTTTGGAGAGGAGGGCTACTCTTAATTGAGAAGGCCTTCCAAAATTGTAACTTTAGTTGCAATTAATAATAATAATTTTTTCACCACTTTAAATATTTCTTCTCTTTGTTGGATGATGAAGATGGAGATTAATTTGAAGGTTTGTTTTTCTTATTTCTTTTTTTATTGCTTATTAGCTTAGATTTATTTTCATGCTTGTAATTAGATTTTATTTTTCTTGTTAAATAGCCAAGAGGCTAGAACCCTCTTGCCTTAGATTTATTTCATGCTTATTTTTTGTTTATTTTTATTTTGTTTGATTCACCTTTAGGTTAGAACCCTCTAGGGAATCACCCTTTTCTAAGAAGTGGGTTTAATTTTAGATTACCTATATCTATAATTGAATGCACCATCTTTAATTTCTTGCATTTTTTTTATTCTTGAATTTTATTTTTGATTTGTTTCTCAATTTTATTCATTCTTCTTTCTTGCCTTATTGATCACATTTATTCTCAAACACATTGATCTACACACTATCACTCTCATTATCTCTCCACAATCACATTCACTCATCACTCCTATTTGTCACGCACACAACATAAGAACCGATTTTATATTTTCTCCTACAAAAACACCTTCCTCGTGGGATTGATATCTTTATACTATAACTTGACACGGTTGTGCACTTGCAACCTTTTTGGTACATGTTTTTGCCGCATCACTGTCTACGGAGATCATGGAGCTAGACTGGGTACATGAGGAACTAGAAGATGAATGAGTTCCCACCATCCTACAAAAAGGGGAACCATCCATCAGCACTAAAATGAAAGAACAAAACAAAATAAAATAAACAGATGTTAAGATCAATACCAAAAAAATTCTAAAATGAAATTAAACAGCTAACCACACTTGTATCTTCCTTAACAAACCTAAAAGGCTTTACTATAAAATATTTATGTGCATACACACATATATATACATATATACAGATATATGGGTCACATAATTGATCCATGCGATAACACTCAGCTAGCGCATATATTCTATGCTAACACATCCTACAAGACTTCTAGCATCGAAACCTATGGCTCTGATACCATTGTACTGTCACACCCCGAATTACAGAAAAAGTTTATAAATATGTGCTTCACGACAACAGCGACCTGTGCATAAGACGAGTTCCGTACATAAGTCAAGCCTGACACTTCATATAACCTAGCTATCTCAAAATGTACATAAACCTGCTTATGCTACTAGCTATAAATATATATATATATATATAATTGTTATTTACATTTCACAACCTTACCGTTACAATTATTTTACGATGCAAAACACTTTTTTTGCTAAACATAACGCCACTGGAGTTGTATTTTCCATATAAGCACTTCTTTACAACACCCACAACCAAAATTTTAGATTATTACATATCAATCTCGGATCTAAAAAAAATTAAAAACCAACAGTGAGATAAAGCTTAGTGAGAACATTTCCCATTAGAGTTCCTAGACATGTAACAAAATAAAAATAACTACTGTTATATTCAAGAAAGATAAGTACAAGATGAATATATCGTACGTATTCCAGAATCAAAATCTTTTTAAAAATAAGTAATTATTAAGAAAGAAAATGAACTACTAAACTTGGTAAAACTAAAATATTATTATTTTCTCAGAATCACAGTTAAATCCTAGAATCTAAAGTCTTGATGAGACATACATAACATGTAAGAATCACCTCCTAAGTCACACTAAGGCTACAAATTTTAGCCTAGTAGCATGGGAATACCAAAAGGCATCACATAACACATAGTTCCAGAAAACAGAATGCACAACTCTGCTATAAGCCGCCGGCCACATTACAAATATCCAAAAAGGGCCGCATTACAAATGCCAAAAGGCCACATCACAAATACCCATAACGGGCCACATAAAGGTATATTCTAACCATATGACAGACACAACATAGCGCTCCATAGTGGACTTTCTAAGGGTTTTAAAAACATCAAGAATCGCTTGTCAAATAGATTGATTCTAGAAATACATCTCTTGTCATATTATTTGATTTCAACAACATCACTTATCAAATTGCTAAATTTCAAAAACTCATTAGTTGATACATTACTTGATCTCAAAAGTACATTGCTTGTTACAAAGTAATATTAATACAAATTTATTTACTTGTGAAAATTTCAAACACTTTCAAATTACGTGAGCATGGGTAAACTCACCATATCATTTAAAATGGTGCAACAAATTCACATTATTTACTTTTATTCCAAATATCAAATCATGAAAAAACTATTGAACTTGTTAAACCGCTGAAACACAATTAAACCACTTATTTCTTTGATAACTTTCAAATAAATCGAAATTCACAATTATTTGGTATCGCGTGATAATCAAAATCACTTATCATATTTATATAAAATCAAATTTATTTTCAATATCTTAGAAGAAGTCAAAATCATATTATGAGTTAGGCCACAACAGAATCAATCAAATCATATATCATTTCTATACATGAAGAAAAAATATAGAATAATTATTTCTTCAAACACAAGATCGATCCACTATAATACGCATAGAATTTAATGTTATAAAATAAATACTAGTGAGAAATAAACTCACCTCTAATGAGTACAACTTCCCTCAAAATATTACTCCCATGGATATCAAACAAATCCTATAATATAAAGATATAAGACTAATGTTAATTTAGAACAAGTACATATTATAGGTTAATCACTTCAAATCTGGAGTCAATCAGATTCAAAAATAATCAAATAATAATTAATATCTATAAATAGAGTACACATTGTCTTTTTGCTAATATTTGGCAATTTATCATAATTTCTATAATATTATTCTAGTAGTTTTGGGCCTATTAATAATTTCAGACAGTTTTCGAAGTTTTCCAAACAATTACCCAAGCTTAATTCCTTAACTAGTTTGACTCTTCTGGGCCTATGAGTAATTAACAGAGTAAGAGGATTTTAAATAAAATTTTCATCTCTTTTATTTACTGGACCCACATACAAACTTATAAACTTTTAGGGGTCCTAAAGAAATTTATTATTTAATTTAGTTTTCTCTTTCTCTCTTCTCCATCTCCTTCTTCTAACCTAATTCCTTTTTTCTTTTCCTCTTTTTTTTACCTCTTTCTTCTTTTTTTTCCTTCCTATGGTTGATCATGCGCATGCTACCTCCTGCTCCGTCGTCGAAGTAGTCTCTCAACGGTGAGGCTCCCTGGCGATTAGGGGTCGATGACGAGGTCCTCGCTGGTGGTTAGATATTTATTTCTCTCTCTCTCTCTCTCTCTCTCTCTCTCTCTCTCTTCCTCAATTCCTTAAAGAAATCAAAGAACAAAAGCTCTATCAATTACCAAAAAAATCATAGACAAATAAGAAGAAGGATTATACCTTTGATTGGATTGAATTTAGGGTAAGATTATTATTTTTCCTCTTTTCTTTCCACTAACTTCTTCTTCTTCTTCTTCTTCTTTTCTTTTCCCCCTATTTCCCCCTTTTTACCCTATTTCCCCCCTTACCCCCTATTTCCTCCTTTTTTAATCTCTTTATATCTTGTCTTTGAGGTGGTGCAAACCACCAACGTAAGTGAGGCGGTGATGAACGGAAAGGGTTTGGGTATTTTTGCATAGCACCCCTCACACTTTATGATTTACAGGCAATCCCCCTCTTTTTTTTTATTTTGCTATTTGCTTGGGTTTATTACATTAAGGGTTATTAGAAAACCCCCATTGAACACCAAGATTTTATCAACTTCCTCTAAAAGTGTGAACCACAAAATTCAATGAGAAAAGAGCCCTTGCGTAAATTTACCTACCCATGTGAAAAATAATGCTTAATGCTATTAGGGGAAGTCTGATAAATCTTAAATTTAAAGGAGACTTTCTGATAAATAGGGGTTGTTTGATATTTTGACAATTATCAGAGGTAATTTGATAATTGTCTATTTTTTTCTTGAAATGCCCCCTCCACTTCACGAATAATTCGTATTTGCAACCTGAACCACAATTGTCCACCTTTTGTCATGTTAGAAGCACATTAACCTTTGACCATGAACATACTAGTGTATGAAAATAAGGTGGATAGTTTAACTCAAAAAATTTAAATTCTTAGAGAGGATTCGTGGAACTCACTCATAATATAGAAAGTTTTCGTGAATTTTTTTTTCTAAAAAGAAAAAAGTTAATTTGCGTATAACCCCTAAACTTTGGGGGTTCTATATAACCCCTTTGAACTTTGTTTATCCCACTTAATCTCTTTAAATTTTTGGGTGTCTCACAAAATCTTCGTAAATTTCATCTTTCTCAGAGGCTTCTATACATGTAATTTGCAAATAAATAAAATATCACCTGGAAAAATAAATTCTCAAATTTTGCTATTTGTTATTCACATGCAACATGTATTCCTTTCTAAATTTTGGTCTTTTCCTCTAAAGGCGAATTTAGTTATTTGAAAATTACACGAAAGAGGTCAGGTGAGAAATTTTGGGGAGATTTAGTTAGACACCCAAAAGTTGAGGGGGTTACGCGGAATTAACCGAAAGGCCAGCCTGCACACGTGCTAACAACATGGACATCACATGCCACACGCGCGCGGAATTGCGCGTCCCTCTCCCCTCTCTCGCGTGCCCTCATCGTTGCCAATCTTTCCCCAAAAATTCCAACCCCCAAATCCGAAACCCGACAATGAAAGGCTCCGATCTGATCAACTCCAAGCTCCCCGACGAGCTCCTCTTCGACATCATCCAGCGCTTCGACGGGTCCAAATCCGACTGCGACGCGATCTCCCTCGTCTGCAAGAAATGGATGCGGATCGAGGCGATTCCTGCTCGCCGCAACCATCAGGATCATTCCGGCTGCCAGGCGCCTCGACCGGCATCGCCCCCCACCTGTACTCTCGGTATCACCGCCCTCCGATAGCCTCTATCATCGACCGAGCGGATCCGCCGTTCATATCCCCCCCCCGCCGCCGTCATCCCCAGGCTCAGCCCTGTATGTTAAACTAACCCTAGATCTCAATTCTCGTAGGTTTTGATTCGGTGATTCGATTCGATTTGTTATTCTATTCAAACCGAAACTTTTGAAGAATAACAATGTAGAGAGCTTTGGGAGTTTCCAGTGAAAAAAAATTACCCTGAAATGTCCGCCAACACCCGTTTGGATAACGATAACTAATTTTATAAGTCGATGCAGATTTTTCTGTAAACAGTCAACTTGTGCGCCGAAGCACCTTGCGCCTGAGGCGCGCGCCTCTGAGTGGGCATTTGATAACATTGGTTGTGACAAAAACACAGGAATTAATTTCTCAAAATGAATAGAGTTCTAAGCTCGGAAAGTTGGGAATGTTTGATAATTTTCTTTATAAATTTCTCTACTTTTCATTGGCTTTATCTCAATGAGAATGAAGCTCTGTTTATAGGCTTAGGGTGGGAGACAATACCGTTTTGTACCATATAGAACTTCCTCTCATGTCAAACAATTTAGATTTTGAAAAAAAAAATTGAAATCAACTTAGAATGACTAGAAAATATAAAATCCCCAACTGTTTTCATGTCCAGAACTTCACAATTTATTGATATGTTTGAAATATATAATTGCTCATTTCTTCATATAAAAATTAAAAATTAAAGTTACAAGTTCTGATTCTAAGAAAGCATGCTGAAAGATCTTGGCTTCATTGATCACAAGGACATTGTTGTTGTTGAAGTTCTTTATTGTTGAGTTTGGAGTTGAAGGAAGCACCATTGAGATGGAACTCAACTCGTTGGAGAGGAGTCACATCGTTAACAACCTAAAGAGTCAAGCTTTTGAAGCAAGGTGAGAGAGTGCCAACACGAGATCGAAGATCAGGTTATTAAAGGCATAAAGCTTTTGGATTGCAAGCGCTTAGCTTAGTGACGCTGGGCTATCTCATCGCCGGCGGCCATTGTGCGCAACGCCTAAGTGTAGGTTGAACCAAGCAAGGAGAAGAAGACCCAAAAGATGTTGGTGAAAGGCGACTATTTATAGGCTGAGATTTGGCTCCAAGGGGGGTTTGCTCATGAGGGGTTTACCCATGCAAGGTTACCTGAGCATTAATTTTGATGTGATTTGCAAAGCACTTTACAACTCAGAAGTGACACAAGGCTCAAAACGGTGTTAGGTGCAGCAGCTTTATCAACTCTGCATGGCCACGCGGGTAACGAAAGTCAAGAGATTGTGGATTGTTCTAAGTCACGCGGGGTGATATCCATGCACCATTGTGCTTCCATATATTCAGCATGTAATGCGGGGATTTGATGATCTAACATCTGACTAAGGTCTCTATCACGTTGATATGTTTTACCTACGAACCTCACACGCGGTTAAGTCACACAAGACTTAGCTCATGCGTGGTTAAGTGCCACGCGAGGGTAAACTTTTGCAAGCAAGGTTTTAAGTATCGGTTATCAGGGATTTGTTGGATGGTCAAAATCCATATCGAATAGCGGATATCAGAGATATATTAGGAATAAGTAGTATTTATCGGAGTGACATCATCGGATGGTGACATACATAATCTAATATTCTAAAATATAATCTAATCATACTTAATAAAATATAAACATACCAAAATATAAATAATTATGTTTAGACTCACTAACCAATGATAGAAACTTGAGTCAGGCCAGGTTTAAAGTGCTTTGAATAGATGCATGTTGCCCAAAATCAAAACTCAAACTAAAGGCTGATAATTCTGATTTTTGGGCCGACAATATCGGCTGATAACTCACTTTATCGTTGTGTTATCGGCGATAAACATCCAAAAATGATAACTGATTTAGAATAGAACTTATCATAACGGAAGACCCTCAAAACCGATAAATCGCTGATAATATTGGTTTATCAGCCGATATTTAAAACATTGTTTGCAGGGTGCAAACATGTGGGGCTAAGTTCACCTGAAGTTAAGCTCAAGCGGAGTTAAGCTCACGTGGGGCTAAGCTCACACGGATTGGAGCTCTTGCTTATAATCTACCTTCTTGAGTTGATTTCAGTCTTTTTGACTTAGGATTTTGGGATCGCGTATCCCTTGCCCAATTTTGTAGACTCTTGACTTCGTTGAGCCCATTAGTCATGTCAAATGACCAAAATGCCCTTGGTGGTGTCCAAACTTTGTATTTTGCTGATGTTGTTGATTGGTTTGTGTTTTTTAATTGCTCACACCAATGTTTATATTGCTGAAAAAGGCAATAGATAAGCCTAATTTAGGCTGATTTTTGCCCATCAGCAACGGTCGAATGGGTGGCTAGGTGGCTGTCCAATTGTCCGGAAGATGACTTGTCCAGACACTCATTCCTGAATAGAAAATGCAGATTGCAATTTTTGTTTTGGACTTTTGCAAATTTTGACAATTTTACCTCTGGTTCACTAAAAGGTCATAACTTGAGTTCTACAAACTTGATCCTGTGGATTTGTAATTGAATGATAGACAATCCTAAGTGCTTCAAAACTGAAATTAACAAATGTTAAAGGTGGGAGTCTATAGGAAATACCTAAACACTACAATGTCTACATCTTCATTGTTGTTCGGTCAATGTGTGTATTTCTTTCTCTTTGAAGTAAGTCCATTTGAAGTAATGTCCATTTATCTTCATAAGAATTACGTTTATGACCCGTCTTCTATTCTTGAAGCTTGTGCTATTTGTTATTGTATTTGTACGTTATATCGCAAAGCAACAAGGCAATGACTTCCAAACTCATCACTTAATGTTGTTGAAATTATTCAGAAATACTGTGCACGCAAAAGATACTTTGTTAGATATCAAATTATAAGTCGACAAATTGTTTTGTTTCTGGGCATTCTTTTTGTTGCAGTTGATTTGGACGGGATCCTAGCGTATGGAGATCGTTAGACTATGCTAGTGATCCCTCTCTTGGAGCCTTCTAATTTCCTAAACATCGAATAAGAGTGCAAAGTAAATAGGGTTAGAGTGATGTAAATTTTTCTGCTCTATTATATGTTTGTCATATTTCTATTTCAAGTGTTTTTTGTTACAATATCTGATTCTGACCTGTAGTTGGTTACAAACTTATGTGATTGATGTCATGCAGAAAAAGAGACGGGCTCATTCTTCTGAACATCATCAAGTGAATGAAAACAGTGAGTCTGAAAGTGAACTGGAGAGTTTTTGTTTGAGTGATGCTGGTTTATCTTCTCTTGCAATTGGATGTAAGGATCTTGAAAAGTTAAGTTTGATATGGTGTTCCAACATAACATCTCTGGGGTTGAAAAGCATCGCTGAGAGTTGCAGATTCTTGAGATCCTTAGACATGCAGGTGAAATTTTTTGTTCATTTTATGAGAAAGATGATTTTCTATTTCCCTTATAGGTCCTTTCTAAATGACCTTGCTTAGAATTTTAAGGCATCATTAGGATGTTTAGCAACTTCTGAAATCAATCATAATTATATTTATTATTAGGCTCATAATATATTACGACTATCTATTAATGCTTAAAGGCAGAAGCGAAAGGTGAAGAGACAGACCCTTTTACAAAGTGTGGCCTAAGATTTGAGTGAGGCATAAGCGTCATAATTAATTATGGTTTAATTTTAAACTCACAAATATTCCCATATAATATGCAGTGGAATATTAATTTATAAATAGTTAATTCAGGTTTTTGACAAGAATGAAATATGTTAAATATTGACGCTACTCATAATAAAGTAAGCTATATACATTAAACATATGTCTTATTTATAAACACAACCATATTGAAGAGACATGTATAAAATTATAGTTTCTTATTAGAAAAGCTGAGTTCAACTGCTGCATTTATTCAACAATCAAGGTAAAAATGAACAAGGAAATAGGCAGTTAGGCACAGCCCACAAAAGAGAGAAAATATTGAGTGCTAGAGATGAATATAAAACCCATTCAGATGCAAAAAGGAAAAAAAAATCAACCTAAGGTTCAGTATTATTGGAACAAGTATTATTTTAGACAGCAATGTTTGTTTAAAGTACACAAAAGAATAACTATGGAATAATTAGATAAGGTAGTTGCTTTTTTTTTAATTTCAGAAAACAGAGTGGAAGTCCTTGAGGTATCGAGGAAAAGAAAATGATAGGAGCATTTAAATTTTAGTCAAAACCTTCTTTACCATTGTATCAATTTTGAAGTGTCAAAAGCGAAGCGCTTCATTGGGTGTGGATTGCACACTTTATGTGTGCTGGTGTTAAAGCGTAGGCCGCAGCACCTAGGAACAAATGCTTTTTCCTTTAAATTATGAAGTGATTGTACTTCAAAATGCTTTGAAGTGAGCATCAGAGCACTCTTCAAAAAGCTTTTTCAAATATTGTTAGCTGTAGACATTTGATAACTTTGTCACTTGAGAAGTGAATGCAATGGATTCTAGTGCTGAAGACTTCAACTTAAAGAATTCATTCAATTGTCTGTTTCATGTTGGTTACTTTGTCATGGGAAACATTATGATTCTCTTTTGTTCATTAGCTTGCATATTAAACACATTAATAGCTTTTATTTATGCCATGCGAGTTCACCCTGCATGCATATGGTATTCTCCTAGGCAGAAATTTTTTTTATTATAGTTTAGAATTCCAATAAACTTCTAATCTTTTTTCCTGCACTGGAGGATCTGTGGTGTTTCAGCATTCCTATTCCCTTGTAGCATATATAGATGAAAGTCAAGGCCACTTTGAGACCTCTTCCAATACATGAAGCTGTAGAGTGAATCATTCTTCAAACAAATCTAACTGCTAGATCATGGTTAGAAACCTGCTACAAGCTAGTTTTTCTGAGTTCTCTATCAAGCTCAGCAACCCAATTCAAGACATTTTAACTCTTATGAACTTCATTTACGCGGGAGCATGTATAAGATGAATCATATTATTCCACTTTGGGCAAAACTTAATTATTTCAGAAATCATTCAACTCAAAACATTCTTACATCTATACTGACATCATCTCAAGGTACATATGTTAAACATACATTTTAAACAAGAATTGACGTCATCGTGCCAGAGGTTCCGAGAATTCCATGTTCAGCCACCATGCAACACATACACCCTTAAATCATTGCCAAAAAGCTACTGAATCCCATAGGGATCATCAAATAGTGCAGATCAACCATTTGAGATTGGTAGATGAGTTTTTAAACTAATGTTGGAGGAAATTTATGTGACTAATATGATAATATCTTGCGACAGAGTGCAGTTAACTATACTGCTGTGATTTTCCGCCAAGACTATTATGCTTAGTCCAGTATCTGTATATGTAGAGCTAGGAAACTTTTCTTTTCTTGTAACAGCCTTCCCATTTGATAAAAGAGTTCTGGTTCATGTTATGGCACACTATAACTAAGGAGCTATTACCAGGATGATTCGTCCAACTTGTTGAGGGACATAGGGATGTAGCATCCCATCCTATCCCATGAGTCATCATGACTAGGTTGTCTTCATATATATCATAATTGAAAATACATGCCACGGCTTCAACATCACCTTAAATAGAATAAAGTAGTTGGGAGAAAAAGTGATCAACTGTTGCTAAGTAGGAAACAACACAAATAGAAATCATGGTGTCGAAAGCAGGTCTTCATATTGATTTTTGAAGAGAACAAGCTATTTTACTTGAAGATAGAGTATAGGATCAAATCCTGCTACAGCTGCGCACACTTAGATCAAATGAACACAGTCCATGATAATTCATAGCATCAGAAGCATTATGATTAAAATGTTTCTGATGGTGCAAGTACAAATTCCCTTTGGTTCCACTTGCTAGATTGGCATCACAAGGGGACATGAACTTTTCTGTCCCTTTGGTTCCACTTGCTAGAGTAGCATTTCACAAGGGGGCATGATTTTTTTATAGAAATGCTGATATTGCATGTCTCAAATGGGATGAAATGGAGCTTGAAAATAGACATGGATCTCCATGTTTTCATATAAATTAGTCATGAGTGAGCAGTCACTTTTCATAGCGAATGTAAAGGTTGGGGTAATATTCTGTGGTGTTATTTCTCCTGGTTCTGTATGTATTATCAATTCATACAGTTAGTCCTCAAAATTATATTGTTAGTTTCATCTATTCAAGACGTTAGTATTTATATTTCGACAACTAGATTCTCTTGAAAAATGATGTCTCCCTTTCTGGCAGTGTCATTGTTTTGGTGTGTGCTTGTTCCAATTTCTTCTGTTATCTCTTCTGTATTCTTACATTTGGAGAATTGAATAGTACAGGGTTCTTACATTGGAGACCAAGGTCTGACTGCTGTGGGACAGTGCTGTAAGCAGCTTGAAGATTTAAACTTGCGCTTTTGTGAAGGATTGACTGACCAAGGTGTGGTTGAGTTTGCCCAAGTATGTGGAAAGGCACTGAAGTCTTTGGGAATAGCAGCTTGTGCGTGGATAACTGATAAGTCACTGATTGCTGTGGCAGCTCACTGCACATTCCTTGAGACGTTGTCCCTGGACTCAGAGTTTTTCAGGAATGAAGGAATAGTTTCTATTGCCAAAAGTTGTCGGTCATTGAAGGCACTAAAACTGCAGTGCATAAATGTTACTGATGAGGCTCTGCAAGTTGTTGGTTCCTTATGTTCTTCACTGGAGTTATTGGCTCTGTTCAGCTTCCAGAGATTTACTGATAGGTACTGTATGTTTTCTGTTAATTCCTGGTTATCTTAATTAGCAGTAAAGAAGGAACATAATTAACTTTTGTCTTGGAGTTGCTTCAAGAGATACATATAGATTTTTTGTTTGTTTGGTTATATATATATATATATATATATATATGTGTGTGTGTGTGTGTG